ATGGATAAAGTGGGCTTTGGAGGCACAGGGCTGTAAGGGACATGGGGTCCACACGGATGCTACCACAAGAGGCAGCCAGGATGAAGCTGGGTGGCAGGGGGTCACTGTAGGGATGCTGCGGACAGGATGGGGACAGGTCGCACAGGCTGGCAGCAAGGTGGCATCTGATGGCTGGGAAAGGCTCCCTGAGAGCTGCAGCACAGGGACAGCAGCCAGGCCCTGCTGGACCACAGCCACCAGCACTGGGGCACCGACAGCATCCAGACTGGGGAGGTTATAGCAACAGCCACGGGTGCAAGCTGTGGGCACCCAGAGCCACTGGTTGGGGTGGGGCGCAGTGGTGGCACTGGGGCAGCGCTGAGGGCCAACCTCTTGCTGCCCCATCCCCATTTAACCCAAGAAGTTCTCTGTCCCCATCCAGCCCTGTGTCCCCACAACCTGTCCTGCACCAGTGTCACCGGCAAAAGGCAGCAGTTTCACCCCCAGAACCACCTCAGCCTGGACACTTCCCTGCACCATAGGTGATGCTTGGCATCCCCAGGCTGCTGGAGCAGTGACCGCCCTGTGGCCCCACGCTGTGGGACAGCCCATGGGGCCAGCAGGCCCCTGTCCCTATCAAGTGTCAGCAGTGCCTGGGGTGCAGAGCCCACACGGGGCAGGGGCTCCAGGGCCCTGCACGAGCCCCCACGCTGCTCCCTGCAGATGGATTTTCTCCCAGCTCCTCCGCAGCCGGGATCCAAGCATGGAAAACCGTCACTGCCGGCGGCTGCGGGAGGCAGCGCTGGGCTCCCCCCGCCCCGCCTCCTCCTCCACAGCCCCCCCTTAATGAGGCAGAGGAAACAGGAGCAGCCTGGAAGGTTGAATTGGAAGCTGGGAGCAGGCAAAGGGGACACGGAATGGGGGACACGGAATGGGGGAGAGAGCAGGGACTGGGGGGTGACTGTGAGAAGCAGGAAGGCTGAAGGGGATCGTGGTGGGGCTGCAAGGAGGGCGTAGAGGAAGGAAGAAATCTGGTAGCCGGGTTAGGGACATGGGGAGGGATCCAGGAGCCATCAGCATAAGAGCTTCATTGGCTGGGGGGTGCGGGCAGGGGGGACAGGGGTGAGTTCTTTGGGTCTCCTCTTGCTGCCCTTCCGGGTGCTGCTCCCCCAACGAGGCTCTGAGGAAGACAAGAGCAGAGAAGCAGATGAGGCAGCTCCTGGGCAACAGCAGCAAACCCAGAGCCCCTTCCTGAGGAGGATCTGTGAGTTACATCAGAGTGATTCGTGTCAGCAACTCAGGGGTCCTAGCGATCATTGCACTTTGTGTGGAGATGGAATCCCTTGTGATCATTGTGCTATGTGCAAAGGGTATGGTAAGTGTCCCTGTCAATACCACAGTGAGGAGGAAGAAGAAACAAGGGAATAATTCCCCTGGGTCAACCGCAATATTGTGCACAGAAATGTTTTGTTCATTGTTTAAAGTGCATGAATGTGCTTAGAAAAAGGGGGGCTAGGTAACTTAGAGATATGTCCTGTTACAGAACGTTGTGAAACCTGTGCGCTGAACAAATGAACACATCAGGAGTGGAATTCATGGGGGCTAAGATGGCGGTCAGACTTGTGAGAGACATCATGTTTCTTGACCCGGAGACAAGACCCCAACAAGAGGTGGAGAAGCCCGGGAAAAGAAGACAACAGGATTGGCTGAAACCCAAGAAGCCCGGGAAAAGAAGACAACAGGATTGGCTGAAACCCAAGAAGCCCGGGAAACCCCAAAGTGTAAGAGACTATCCCCAGCAGTTCCCGGTGTGCGTCTCGGGCGGGGCTGAGCGGAGCCGAGCCGAGCCTAGCCGAGCCTCGGCTCCCCGGCGCACCCAGCGCTGCTTGCTTCTTGTCTCTCGATATTAATTACAGTAAAAATCAATTAAAACAGATTGGCGAGGTTCTTCTAACAGCACGATACGTGGAAAAACATTAAAACAGAAGCGGAAAATCGAGGTGCTGTGAACCTGCCCCACAGCCTGAATGCTCCACATCCCGTCCGGCACGAGGCGAACCGCGGGCTGGGCGGCGGGGAGGAAAACGGCGCTCCCGCGGGAGCCGAGCGGAGGCTGCGGCGGCGGCTCCCCTCCGGCCGAGGGGCTGCGCCTGGTGGCGGCGGGACAAGGAGCTGCGGAGCACGGGCGCGCCGCCTCCACCTCCCCGCTGCCGCGAGCTCCCTCACTCGCCCGGCGGCGGCAGCAGCAGGCTCCGGCGGGCTCCCCCCATTGCCTGCCCGCGGGCAGAGGGCTGTGATACTCGCCCGCCCCTCGCCTTTGTGTGCTCCGGCAGGCGCCAAGATGCGCGCTGCGGGGCGGCGGGGGGTCCACTCCTCCCGGTGAGAGGCGGGAAGAAACCCAGCCTCTGCCCCGCAGGTTTTTCACCCCCAGCAATGGTCTGTTAACAGAGAACGATTCAGTCAAACACGCTACCCTGCAACACAGAGCTGCCATAGACTTTGTGCTAGTAGCTCAAGGACGTGGTTGGCAAGGCTGTGACAGAATGTGTTACATGAACCTGTCTGATCGTTCTGAGTCTGCCCATGATGCAATTCAACGCCTGCTTTAGAACACTGCCATCCCATTCGCAGCTTTCTGCCTTTTGCCTTAGCGTTTTCTAGCAGCTGCTGCGAATGGGCACGCTCCAACATCTTTTACAGGGCACAAGTCCATACGGCTTTGGAGGGGAGGTGGGAGTTCAAATGGTGCCAAACCCATGGAATTCGGGGGGGGGGGGGGGGGGGGGGGGGGGGGAAGAAGGGATTGGAAAGGGTTTGGGGCAGAAGGGATGGAGTTTGTGGGGTGTTCCTGGAAGCGGGCATGGTTGCATGGGGCTTGGAGCATCCTGCTCTATGGAAGATGTCCCTGCCCATGGCAGGAGCTGGAGCTGCATGAGCTTTAAGGTGCCTTCAACCCAACCCATTCCACGACTCCGTGGCTCCATGACTCCATGATCCCACACTCCTGTGCTGCAGTGTGGATGTTCTCTGGTGTATGTGTTATCAGTATTATAGCCAATTCCGGTGCAGCGATAGCAGATAAAACAGCGCTGGCTGCCCCACGGAGCCCGCCCGTCTGCCCAAGACGCGCACACGCGGTGCCTGGGAGGTGGTCCTTTATCTTTTTCGGTTCAAGGCCCCAGCCAATCCTGTCGCCCCTCCTCACTCGGATGTTGACGTCGCTCTTCCCCATTGGTTCTCTTGGTTGCAGGGGTCTCATTACCGACAAGTTTCGGGAGGATTCGAGAAGCGTCCACTGCCAGCCTCCTCACCGTCGCATCCCCCTCCCCTCAAGCGTTGCAACAGGACACCACTTCGAGCCGCCCAGCCCCCTTTTCTCTCTCGCAATCCCGCGCAACAATACAACTGACCTCCCCCCCATTACTTACAGAGTACAACAGGTACAGAGTCAAAAAGAATTGTTTCACATAACGATAGCCACAGAGAGCCTCCTTCCCCCCAAACTTCTTCATCAACAAACCCCACACATTACATATGGATCTTAGGAATGAGCTGGTGGCACAAGGGAGCTCCAGAATATCCCACAAACAGAGCATCCCATAGGGATTCAGAGCATCCAACAGGGCTCCAGAGCATCCCAGAGAGCTCCAGAGCATCCCATAGGGATTCAGAGCACCCTGAAAGCAGAGTGTCCAATAGGGGTTCAGAGCATCCCACAGGGATTCACAGCATCCCACAAGAAGAGCAGCCCACAGGGCTCCAGAGCATTCCACAGAGCTCCAGAGCATCCCACAGGGATTCAGATCACCCCAAGCCCATCAGAACCACGCCCATCTCCACATGCCCCCCGCATTGAACCCCCTATGGACCCCCCCCTCCCTCCCATGGAACCTGCCTCTCTGACATCAGCCCCAGCACAAAGGGACCTGCATCCAGCACCCGTATCCCTGTGGCAGTTGCGCTTTGGGCGCAGTGGTGCTTGCAGCTCCTTGGTTGCAGCTCCTTGGTTGCAGCTCCTTGGTTGCAGCTCCTTGGTAGCAGCTCCTTGGTAGCAGCTCCTTGGTTGCAGCTCCTTGGTAGCAGCTCCTTGGTTGCAGGTCTTTGGTGGCAGCTCCTTGGTGTCACCCTTAGCAGTGATGGCAGCGAGGGCTTTGCTCCGTGTCCTCATCCTGCTGCTCTTGGCCTGGCTGGTGCATGGCTCCTGGGACAGCTGTGGGTGAGTGGCCCCAGGCTCTGGGGCTCCTGGTATTCCACAGGGAGATACTGCTGCTCCCAACCATGGTCACACCAATGGGGTGGTGAGCTTGGGGGAGCACCACTTCCTTGCCATCACCCCACGCGGTGGCAAAGCGCAGCTATGGGGCACCCCATAGGGTCCCCTGACCCTGAAGCACCCTATGGGGCAAGATGCTGCTCATCTAGTGGGCGCCTCAGAGGGTCCCTTGTCCCTGAAGCACCCTATGGGGCAAGATGATGCTCATCTATTGGGGGCCCCATAGGGTCCCTTGTCCCTGCAGCACCCTATGGGCTCGGACAATGCTCTCCCTTCATGCCTAACCATCAAATGTTGGGCTTGTGCTTCCAGAGGGACCTGCGGTATCCGTCCCATGGCTGATTACTATGGGATGTCGCGCATCGTCGGAGGCGTGGATGCGCAGCAGGGCGCCTGGCCGTGGATGGTCAGCATCCAGGTCCCCACGGCCAATGGCTCTTTGCACATCTGCGGGGGGTCCCTCATCACCCCCCACTGGGTCCTCACGGCCGCTCACTGCTTCGTCGGGCAAAAGTAAGGGGGAGAAGGGATTCCAGCCATAGGGAATAGCCAAAGAGCAGCTCCCATCCCGTCCCCTTCCCCATCCTGGATGCACTGGGAAGAGCGCTCAGGAGAAGGCTGCTTCCAGCTTGACAGCCCTTGAGCCTGAGGCGCGCTGGGGCAGTGCTTTCCTTTGGGAAGCAGCAGGAATGTGGCTCCTTCCCACCCCTCTTCTCCATAGAATGGAATGGAATGGATCATGGAATGGGTTGGGTTGCAAAGGAGCTGGGGATCATCCACTTCCAGCCGCTTGCCATGGGCAGGGATGCCGTCCATAGAGCAGCTTGCTCCAAGCCTGCCTTGAGCACTGCCAGGGATGGAGCATCCAAACCTTCTCCATCCATCCCATCCCAGTACCCCAGCGCCCTCATAGGGAATCCCTTCCCTATCTCCACCCTGCAATTCCCCGTCGGAACCCATCACCCCTTGTCCTACGCCTCTAACCCCTGCTCTTCCACTGCCTCCCAGCTTCACCACGGATTGGTTTGTGATGGTCGGAATCACGGACCTGGCTCGGGCCAATTCCGAGACCCAGAAGCGTTGGATCCGGCAGGTCGTGGTCCATGAATATTACACCGGCATCTCCGGCGGCTTCGACATCGCCTTGCTGGAGCTGGACCAGCCGGTGCAGTGCGGCTACCACGTGCAGCTCGCCTGCCTGCCCGATGCGACGCTCAGGCTATCCCAGCTCTCCGAGTGCTTCGTCAGCGGATGGGGCGCGAGGGAGGCCAGAAGTGAGTGCCCGACGGCCCCGTTGGCCTTGGAATGCCGGGTCATGGATTCATGGAATGGGATGGAAGGGAGGGTAAAGCTCATCCAGGTCTACTGGAGGTTGCTCCGACTGGGGATGGAGCCTCCCAGCCTTCTCCATCCAGCCCATCCCAGTGTCCCACCGCTTCCTTCTCTCCAACCTGAGCATCCCTGGTTCAGTTGGAACCCATCAGCCCTTGGCCCATCGCTGAAGGTCCCTCCATGTCCTCCTTACGCTGAGGATGCAGAGCAAAGGGGATGCAGCCCAGGCCATAGGGGGTGTTGACGGCTCCCATTGAGCTTCTCAGCCCCCAATACCCCCAAATCCATCCCTTGTCCCCCTAATCCTGACCCCCTTTGTGTCCCCACAGCGGGGGCATCGTCCCCATCAGCCCTGCAGGAGGCCAAGGTCCCCCTCATCGATGTCAAGCTCTGCAATAGCAGCCAATGGTACCGAGGGGCCATCAAGAGACACAACCTCTGCGCTGGGTACCCGCAGGGTGGCATCGACACCTGCCAGGTAGGGATGTGCCACTGGGGCTCCCTTCTCCTCTCCCATCTGCAGGGCCTTGCTCTGCATCCCCCTTTATCCCAGCTTCGGAAGCACATCCGGCTCCTGGTCCGTCATCCCTGCGCAGGGACCATAGAGCTTGGAGCTTTCAGAGCATCGAGATTCCACCACTAAACCATGTCATGAGCAGGGATTCATGGAATGCCTTAGGTTGGGAAGGAGCTTAAAGCATCCAGTTCTAAGCAAGGGGCAGGGACGCCTTCCATTAGACCAGCTTGCTCCAAGCCCCATCCATCCTTCTCCATCCTACCCATGCCAGTGTCCCACCACCCTCATAGGGAACAACTTCTCCTTATCTCCAACCCAAACTCCCCTCTTCCAGTTGGAAGCCATCAGCCCTCGTCCTATGGCTCCAATCCATGCTGAAGGTCCCTCTCCGCGCCCAAATGATGGAGGAGAACCCTTCCATCCCCATAGGCTGACAGTGGTGGTCCCCTCCGGCATTGCCACGGCGACCCATCCCCATCCTCATCCTCTCTCCTTCTCCTCCATAGGGTGACAGCGGCGGTCCCCTCATGTGCCGGGACAAGCGCGCCAACTTCTACTGGGTTGTGGGGCTGACGAGCTGGGGCCGCGGCTGCGCCAGGGCCAAGAAACCGGGGGTCTACACCTCGACGCAGCACTTCCACGACTGGATCCTCTACCAGCTGAGGACGTTCCGCTCCGCGGCAGCCTCCGCGACGCCCCCGACATGGAGCCACCAGCACGTCTCCCATACCCCCGTCCAGGAGACGATGCCGGCGCCCACGGCCTCCAGCACCAGTGGCTTCTGCTACTTCCCAGTCCGGGTGCTGTTGGAATTCATCACTCGGGTGCAGGAGTTGCTGCAGGCTCTAAGGGGGGAGAAGTCTTGAGGAGCGGCATCGCTTGCACGTGGCTCGAGCTTCAGTAAAGTTGCCTTATTTTCCCACAGAGAGGATGCTTTGCATGCCCACCTCTTCTTCTGGTCCATGGGGAGGGATGGGGATGAGGGATGGAGGGAACAGTGGGAAGCAGGAGCTGGGAAGCAGGAAATCAACCAGGTTGGGAAAGACCTTCAGGAGCATCAAGTCCAGTCATTGCCCCACCATTAAAACATGGCATGAAGAGGGAGGGGGGACAGCTTCCATTAGACCTGGTTGCTCTGAGCCCCATCCGTCCTTCTCCATCCAACCCATCCCAGACTCCCAGCACCCTCACTTCCTTATCTCCAACCTGAACTTCCCTGTTCCAGTTGGAACCCATCACCCCTTGTCCTATGGCTGCAATCCATGCTGAAGGCTGCTCTCCACACCCAAATGATGAAGGAGAACCCAACCTTCCATGGTTCTGCTTCTTCCCTGCATCCAGCTGGAGCATCCCACTTCATCCCTGCATCCAGCTGGAGCATCCCACTTCATCCCTGCATCCAACTGGAGCATCCCACTTTCTCAGGGCAACCCCCTCTCCTCCTCCATCACTGCTGAGTGGACATCTGCCCAACAAGACCGCTGGGAGGGGTCCTAAGGGAGAGCCCATTGGGGGGGTCACAGCACCCACTGGTGGGGGGGTCACAACACCCACTGGTGGGTGTCCAATTGGGAGGTCCCATGGGCCGTGGTCCCAGCAGCCAGTGTGGGGGGGCACCGTGAAGAGGTCCCAGCACCCATGGGGAGGGTTCTCAAGGGCTGGTCCCAGAACCCACTATGAGGAATCCCATGGGGGGGGGTTGCCAGCACCCATTAGGGAGGTCCAATGGGAGAGCCCATGCGGGGGGTCCCAGCACCCATTAGTGGGGGTCCCATAGGGGGATGCCAGCAGCGATGGGAGGGGGTCCACCGTGGGGATGCTATGGGGGGGGGTCCTAGCACCCATTGGGAGGGGTCTAATAGGGAGGTTCCCTGGGATTTTGTATGGATTTGTCCCTTGTAAAAGAGATGTTGGAGCGTGCCCATTCGCAGCAGCTGCTAGAAAATGCTAAGGCAAAAGGCAGAAAGATTCCAATGGCATGGCAGTGTTGTAAAGGAGGCGTTGACAGCAGATGCCTGGAACAGAACAGGGCAGGTCAGGGTTAACCCCCGAGCGTGCACAGTGGAAGTGCGGTCTGTTTGGGCTGATTTCAATGGCTGGATGGAGGATGGAGCTCCTGTGCAGCGCCAGGGCCGGGTTCTAAGGCTGTGAGCAGGGGAGAGCTCCTGTTAAAGTG